ATTTTAAGGGCGTTACAGTTCAGGCTTACCACTGAACTTGTGGGGGGAAGAAATATTGTCTGCTAATTATGTTCTTAACAGAATACCCCACAAGAAAACTAACTACACTCCTTATGAATTGTGGAAAGGTCGACTGCCTTCCTACAAATACTAAAAGTGTGGAGGTGTTTGGAAAAAGTTGAAGTTCCTGTCCCTAAAAAGACTAAGATTGGACCAAAAGCAGCAGATTGTGTGTTTATTGGTTATGCTCAGAATAGCAGTGCATATCGGTTTCTGACTTATAAATCAGAAATACCTGATATAAATGTGAACACTATTATAGAGTCAAGGAATGTTGTGCTTTTTGAACATGTCTTTCCTTACAAGAATGGACAGGAATTAAGTTCACAGAAAAGAACTTATGATTGTACACAAAGTCAAGAGACTAATGACAATCAAACACAAGAGACTAGTAATGGTCTCGACCAACAGGATTTAACTGATGATGAACCAAGACGACGTAAGAGAGCGAGAACATCAAAAGCCTTTGGTCCAGATTTTCTGACATACCTGTTAGAAAATGAACCTCAAAGCTTTAAGGCAGCAATGACAGGTCCTGAAGCACCTTTGTGGAAAGAGGCTGCTAATAATGAAATTGAATCCATTATGCAAAATCATACTTGGGAATTGGTGGATCTTCCACTAGGTTTTAAACCTCTTGGATATAAATGGATATTCAAGAGAAAAATGAAAGCAGATGGTTCAATTGACAAGTATAAAGTAAGACTTGTAGTTAAAGGTTACAGACAAAAAGAAGGTCTGGACTATTTTGACACATATTCCCCTGTGACAAGAATAACATCCATTCGAATGCTTATTTCTATAGCAGCGTTGTTTAAATTAGAAATACATCAAATGGATGTTAAGACAACTTTCTTAAACGGTGATCTAAATGAAGAGATCTATATGGAGCAACCCGAAGGGTTTGTAGTACTAGGGCAAGAAAAGAAAGTTTGTCGACTTGTAAAATCCCTTTATGGATTAAAACAAACACCTAAGCAATGGCATGAAAAATTTGATCATGCAATGCTTACCAATGGGTTTAAGATAAACGAATGTGACAAATGTGTCTATGTTAAAAACACTGACCAAGGATATGTCATAGTTTGTCTTTATGTGGATGACATCCTTATCATTGGAAACAGTCAAAACATGATCAAATCAACTAAGCAAATACTTAACAAAAGATTTGATATGAAAGATATGGGGGTCGTAGATGTTATATAAGGAATGAAAATTACTAAAACATCTGACGGATATGCATTATCTCAATCTCATTATATTGAGAAAATTCTTGATAAATTTATCAAGGATGATATGAATTTAGCTAGAACACCTGTAGATGTCAATCTTTATTTATCAAAAAATAAAGGTGATGCGGTGTCTCAGTTAAAATACTCCCAAATCATTGGAAGCCTAATGTACCTAATGAATTGTACTCGTCCTGATATAGCTTATGCTATCAGTAAATTGAGTAGGTACACTAGTAACCCCAGAGAAGACCATTGGAAGGCGATCATTCGGGTTCTTAGATATCTAAGATTTGCTCGTGATCACGGTTTGAACTTTACTCGATATCCAGCAGTACTTGAAGGTTATTGTGATGCAAATTGGATATCGGATACTAAAGATTCAAAATCCACAAGTGGATATGTCTTTACTCTGGGAGGCGTTGCTGTTTCTTGGAAATTAATGAAACAAACATGCATTGCGCGATCCACAATGGAATCCGAGTTTATTGCTTTAGACAAAGCAGGAGAAGAAGCAGAATGGCTTCGTCACTTCTTAGAAGACATTCCAATGTGGCCAAAACCTGTGCCAGCTATTTGCATTCATTGTGATAGTCAATCTACAATAGGCGGGGCACAGAATCACATGTACAACGGTAAGTCACGACATATTCGTCGTTGACATAATACCGTTAGGCAGTTGTTGTCAAATGAAATAATCTCAATAGATTATATAAAATCTAAAGAGAATATTGCGGATCCGTTAACAAAAGGGTTGACAAAAGAGCTAGTGTATAGTTCATCAAAGGGGATGGGATTAAAGCCTATTACATAAGAGTCGTCATAATGGTAACCCTACTTATATGACTGGAGATCCCAAGAACTAATTTCAAAGGGACAACTAAGTTAAGTATGGCTTGCCAGAAATCACCAAGGGATTAAAAATCCCTACCCATTCCTATGGTGAGAGTGATATCTGCAACATATGTTGTATGCAGGGGTATAAGGATAAGCTTTGCTTTTAATGATTACTTATATCTTGATTAAGACATAAAATCAAGACGAGTATAAGGAGATACTCACAATAAGAATCACCTATATGAGTGTCGAACTGGGGCTGGTTCTATGAGAATATAAGAGGCTAAATTCTCTAGAAACACTTATGAAAACCAGGAGCGTTCAAGGCCAAAATAAACACAACAGTGAGAACCACGATGTGTTGGAAGATATTTTGTGTGAAATCTATTGTCTTGGCTTATACAAACGGCTGAATAACTCAAGGCATCGCGTCCATTGGTTAGCTAGTAAGTCCGATAGGTTATCACTAGGGAATGTTCAAGGCCGAAAGCTACCTATCCTGATGCAAGATATTTTCGACTTATACTCTTTCGTTAAAGTCTGCATATTGTTGCATTTCCGTTGTCATCAAATTCCATTCATGTGGGGGATTGTTGGAAATGGTTTGGAAAAATTCTGAGTAAACCAGAATTTTTTCCTAACTTTGGTCTATTTTTTAGGTGGGCCCTGAGCGTCAATTTTCACGGGTCAAAGTGGGAACGCGTTCTATGCCGCGTTGTGATTCACGTAGTATATTTGGTTGCTCAAAACCATTACCGAGTGAATAGAAAATTGAAGCCAAAGTATGCTCCATGGAAATGGAGTTTTGGTGTAAAATCCTTAAAGGTTTGAATAAGACTTATCCCACATTGATTTGGTGGGAAGTTGTGAATGGGTTTATAAGGCATGGGTTTGGTACTTGGGGTGTGCCCCAAGGGGTACCTAAGTGTTTTAGAGAGGGAGGTTATGGGCAAAATGGGCTAGATCCATTGGACTCAAAAATCACCACACGCGTGCGCGCGCCGCTGTTGTCCGTCCGGCTGGGCTGGGTGCGTGGTGTGTGGTTGGGTTGGGCTTGTTCGGCCCAATACCTATCTTTTTGGGCCAAAAACATTTGAATTCAATTTTATTTTTTTGAAAATAAAATCCAGAATTCAAATTAATTCGGGAATTAAACTAGTCCGGTTTTTTCCTGTGCACCTAAACAAGGCCTTTCCCGTTTTATCCATTCAAATTCAAATCCATCTGAATTTCAAACCAAACAGTGCCTTAAACAGATTTGTATCTGTTTAATTCAAATTGAACAGGTGCTATACCTGTTTAATTCAAAATCTGTAGCCACCATTCCATTTATAAATAAACTAGCCCCTCATTTGGATTCATTCACTAATTTCGTCCATAAAATTCTGCATGCATAGTCTTCATTTTGCTGCATTATTTTCTTGTCAGAGAGAGTATAAACACTTAGTGTGTTCAACGAACGAATAAATTGTAGTGCTGCTTTTATTTGTTGATAGATCATTTCATCCTGGGAGATAGACGTCCATATTCTGAAAGCACCGAGGAGAGGACGAATCTGTCTTAAGGACACAGTGTCAAACACTGGAATTGATCAAATATTTATTTGAAGAAATTAATCAAGTAAGTTGTTTAATTTATTATTCTGTTTATTAAATCAGATTTTAATTTTGTTTTTGTAACAAAATAAAATCTATTTTTATTTATTTATTTCTAGTTTGATTTTTGTAATCAAACAAATTCTCTCATTTCCTTCATTTCTTTATATTCTTGTTGTTGTTTAGTACACAACAAAATTTAATCTTTTTTAAATACAGTGAAGATTGTCCTACAAAATCTACAACACTTCTATACAAAAATAAGAATTAAAACAAATAAATAAAATAAATTTAAAACTATAATGCAGGATAGTTTTTGGAGGGAATGTTGGACAACAGTCACATGACTCACATTGCTGAAACAAGCACAAATAATGTTATAACAATTGAGCACAGATGTTCAAAAATTAAAAAGAGACCAAACAAGACCACAATCAATGGTAGGGTGAAAATTAGGATAAATTGAAAACCAATTACAATTATAGTTGTCATTCATATGTTACCGAAAGCGCAAAAAACTAATTTACAATGCTATGTAAACTGCAAAGGACAATAGCCTTCTATAAACCAAATGCATTGCAGTAAGTAGCATAAGCAAATGCTCGAGTTACTTATCTGATTGAGTGATGAATTGACCTTTGTAGAAAATCAGTGCTGATTGTTCAGTTCTTGTTGTCTGAATCCTTTGATAGAAACCAAACTCTCCACCTAGTGAAAAGCTTCGAACAAAACTCCATGGATTGGAATATCTTTAGTCTCTCCATTTCGGGGGTTGTACAAGAATATCCTTCCCCGTGCATCTGCTGCTGTAATCTCACCATTCTTCATGCATAACAAAAACCAAAATCGGTCAACACCCAAAACCGGTCCAATCACAAATTTCTTACACCAATTGCTCTCACCGCCGCAATGATCCTCTATCATCCATACATCAACAAATGGGTTGCCAGGACAACACACAACCATAGCAGCATTATCTTTCCAATCCGTTAGTTTACAGTGGACAGAAGTCCCGATGTAGAACCCAGAAAAATCGAGCCCCGGCAACATGAAAAAAGCCTCATTTTGAACCTCAAACCATGTGAAGCAAATACAATGACTTGAAGGAGTTGAGAGCAACCAATAGGGAGATCCATTGACAATCACCTCACAAGACAATTTAAGGATATAAAAGCACAAATCCATCACCTGAATCTCTCTCCAACAATCAGAAATTGAAGAGTAGACGACCTCGACTCAGGTCTGTAAATTGAAAGAAACTATCCCGACGACCTTGTAGTCACTGGAAGAAGTAGTAGAATGGAATCGGAATCCGAACCCGTGAGAGGGGTGAAAAAAACCTAGGAGGAATTTGGATGGTGGGAGAGGGGAGAGATTTGAAGAGTTTGGTAGCGGGGTTCCAGAGGAGGATGATGATGCATCGATGGCAATGGAGTGGATGGTTCGACAGAGAGAGACGGAGACAGAGGAGGCCATTAATGGAGCCGATTAGGTGTAGATTGCGAGTGTGGTTGGAAAATGGGTAGACCAGATTGTTAGGGTCTTTAGACGATGAAGGTGATTGTAACAGAGTGCGAGAGGTGGTAGAGCGGTGTTTGAAGGTGAAAATGGTGGCGGTGGTAGTGGTGCGGTGGTGGAGGAGGTGGGATGAGATGAAGGTAGGGTTAGAGATAAGGTGGCGGAAGGTTTTGCATATGCACCTGAATCGAAGGAGACATTTGACAGGGAGACGATTCAGAATGTCGAAGATGATGTCCATGGGGACATAGAGATTGTAGTCCGAAGACGATGACATTGCATCATCGGTGGCCTTTGTATTTCTTTCTTGATTCGCCATTTTTGCTTCTTTTCAAGAATGGGAATAGAGAGAGAAGAGAGAAGAGAGAGGAAGGGTTTTCAGAGAGGTTTTACACAAGATCAAGAAATGAATAGAGACCCCAACCAACTCCAGATAAAGTGGGTTAGTTAGTTAGTCCAGTTTGTATGTAGTGCCCCAAAGACAAGTTATTGGTGATTCTTGGGCCACCGTTACTTGACATTTTAAATTGGTGGAAGGATATAATTCACAAATTTATGTTGAGTGATTAAAAAATATGAAATGATATGATAAATTGTTATTTTTGAGGGGTTATAGCGATCCCGGCTTTACTCTTGTCGTACAGTGATCCGGACATGTGCCCGTGGATGTTGGTAGTTGATCTTTATCTCGTTTACATCCCTTCTTACTTTGTATTTGAGTTATAGGATGTGTTGGGCAGGTTTGTTACAGGTTGGTTAGGCCTTGGTTTCAATTCCTTGTCGCCCAGTTTTTAGGCGTTCCGCTCGAGCGGGTCTTCTTGCGCTCGAGCGGGGATTGCACAAAACCAGTATTTCGTGTTCCTGCAAAACTTCTGCAGATGGGATTTTTACGCTCGAGCGGGTTTGTTGATGCTCGAGCGGGTCTGGTGGCGCTCGAGCGGGTAGTACTTTCTGGGTATCAGTTCTGGAAGGTGGAAATCTACGCTCGAGCGGACTAGTTTTCGCGCTCGAGCGGAAGTGCTTTATTCTTGTGTCTTGGCGCTCGAGCGGGCCTTATTGCGCTCGAGCGTGTACAGATTTTTGTTCTTGGCGCTCGAGCGTTGTGTTCTCCGCTCGAGCGGGTCATACGTATATGAGTTATCCGCTGGGTGATAATAAAATAAAATAAAAATTGAAATGTGGGATAATTTTTTGGGAAGTGGTCGGACATCAGCCACATCATTGAAGCTAGCTCAAATAATAGCACTTAATAAAACAGTTGAAATTAGAATAAATTGAAAACCAATTACAACTATACGTCATTCATATGCTACCAAAAGCACAACAAACTAATTGCCAATGCTCTGTAAGCTGTAAAGCACAATAGCCTTCTATAAACCAATGAGAACATTAGGATGTTTACTCAATGCACTATGACCATTGCAAAGGAACCTGGGCAGCAGTCAAGTGAAAGTCGTAGAGGAGAGGGGGAGGTTGAATAGGAACTCAAATTTTGCTCCCTTTTCTCGCTAATTTTATCATCTTTTACTTAATTCAATTTTCTATTGTCTTAAACATCATTAATTACCCCTTTAACTAGTTTGTTATCTTAATTGATGAGTATACTTGAGGGATTAGTTTAGAATTTGTCTTAACCAATCATCAATTATCCCTTTAACTAGTTTGTTATCTTACTTGATGAGTACAACTTCAAGAATTATTTTAGAACAAGATTATGGCAATTCATCAATCATCCAAAATGACATACAAAAGCACTCATCTCAGCAATATCAATATGTAAGTATACAAATTAGAATGCACATAATAAAGAGATGAAGATTAAGGTCTCGTTTGTCAACTATTCATTTTAGCTAAAATATCAAAAAGTCATTATAAATTATCACATCACTCCCTTTACTTTCTGAAAATATTTTCGTAAAAAGCCAAAAGGTTACTAAAATAGTCTGTTCCCAAATAAGGCCTTAGATAAAGAGATTCACACCAAGATTTTGTTGGAAATAATGGTTTTTATAGGCTTATTTTGAGCCAACTTTGAGCCTAAATTTGAATGGGTCCCAAACGTCTTTTGGAGAGGATCCAAAGAGGTGACGTGTTCCTTGCCACATGGCAAGTCACACGATGAAGACGGTTCATCAAAACCATTTATGAGTGAATGGGAACTTGATGTCATTTTTGGGTTTATGGAATGGACATTTAAAGAAGTAAAATGTCGGTTTCGTTGCAAGGCTTGTCCTACATTGAAACCTAAGAGAACTTTTATGTGTATATAAGTTCTAGGTGGCAACAATTGGGTTGGGCCCCAAGGGGCACCCAAAGTCTGTAGAAGGGAGGAGTTATGGACAAATGAAACCTTGGCTTAAACCACCACACACGCGTGTGCCGCCGCTCGGTTGGGCACGGGTGTTGGTTGTGGGTCGGGTCGGGTCGGGTCAGGTCAGTTCTAACATTAATTTTTTGGAGAAAATCTGTTTGAATTTTTCCAAAAATTATTTCTGGAAATTAATTCAAACTTTTGCACCAAATTTGAATTCAAATTTTCTGTCCGTAATTGTGCCACTTCCAGTCCAAAATTCCCTACAGATAAACTGGTTTTAACAGGTTTTAACTGCCAGAAACTGCCCAGCAGTTCCCAGCAGTTTCGGATAGTTTTTTCAGACATATTCAAATCTAAAACTGCTGCAAATTTGTGGGAATTTTGAAATGTATCTGTTCAAAACAATTTCATACCTATTCAGTTCAAGACAGCACCTATTTGGATAGATCTGTATGCCTATAAATACTATCCATTTTAGCAGTCTTTTGGATCCGAAAATAGTCTGGAAAATTAATTTTCTTGTTGTCCACATTTTGCTATTTCTTTGCATGATTCTTCATATTAATTTTAGGGAATACTTAGAGAGTATAGAATATAGGTTTGGTTCGCCGTACAAATTGTTTGAAGTGCTACTACAATTTGTGAAGATCATTGTATCCTGGAACATAGACGTCTTTCATCCGTAAGCACCGTAGCGAGGCGAATCTGTCTTAAGGACAGAGTGTCACACACTCGACTTGATCTATTTTGTACTTTTACATTTCAATAAAATAAATTATGTATGTAATTTATTTTTATTTGTTTGATTTGTTTCAAGTTATTTATTTTACACAGAAGATTGTTCCAACAATCTTAAGACTGATTCGAATTATTTTGTTTATATACAATTTTTCATTTGTTTCCTTTTCTTTTTTCTTCTTCTTACAGAAATTATTTTCTATGGTTTTATAAAATAATATTCTGGTTAGAAAAACAAATAGTAGTAATATACTGTTTGACAAATAGTAGTAATATATTGTTTATTTTCTTTGACAACTAGTAGTAATATACATGTGTCATTAACAATTCATAATATTTGTTCATGAAGTTTGTCAGAAATTAATTTTGGTTTTTAGAAATAATTTCTGAGTTTTCATTAATTAAAATTCTGTTTCAGTATTTTAATTTTTGAAGTGTTATAGAAATTTAATTTTTTGTGTGGAATTAATTTGTTTAAATAAAATTTTATTTTATTTTCAAATTAATTGGAAATAAAAGTTACAATTCTTGTTTCTTTTATTTTTACAGAATTTAAAATTCTGTGTTTTTTGGTTTAAATTTTCTGTGTAGTATAAAATTCTAATTATAA